AAACACTTTTGGTTCTTATAAATATTCTTTTCTATTAATTTAATCATACATAGGTTTACTTTTAACAGTTTTGTCCAATTTTTTCTAACTGAGTGGTACAGTGAAGAACATAAGCTGATTTATTAACGGCCGTTATCTCTCATTCCATTTTGGATCCATTAGTTTTATAGTTCAGCCCTCAAAAACACGAAAACTTTTCGAAGTTTGCGCAAAAATTACGCGGATTTAGTTTTTTCACGAAATCCATGTAGTGGCACTAAATGGATGCCCTGCTTCCGCGAGTAGTTTTTTCCAGCTGATAATCAAGACATCGAACTTTAGCCGCGAGCGCGGATGAGTCATGACGGACTACGGGAGCGGGTGGGGATCGTCGTCGACGTCGTCATCTCGGCGGTGACGGAGAACATCCTTCCCCCACTAGACGAGCCACGCCCCGCTCGTTCCCCACTCCGTCGCGAGTTCAACTGCTGGATCTCGCATGATCCGCCTCTATCTGAGGGCTGCTGCCCTCGTGGGCACAGTCCTTTCACTTGGTGAGTTACCAAACTCTTATCCTTTCCAGATCCAACACTTCTCTCGTGTGGATCCTGTGCCAAGGCTGTTGGTATGTAAAAGTCACCTAACCCTACCCATTTTTGGACTTGGTTGCTTCGCTTCCGCGTATTATCCATGTGATGACTGTTTTTCACCGTGAACGTCATGTCAGACCTCATGCTAATGACCAGGAGGGCCTGAAATGCTCCCAAAAACTAGTTCAGTTAGCATAACGATGATAATGGCGACTAGGAGACGAAATGTTCGCTTGCCTGTTTTGCTTGTTTATCCACAAATGGGCGAGATGTGAGGAAATCATTGAGCCTCTAAGGTTTTTAGTTGACCTTCATCGGCTCGCTATAAATTGAAGAAAAAGCATGCCTACTTTTTTGTTGCTCTGCAGTCACGCTGCTCGCTGCTTCCATACAGAAGTGATTGATCTTTCAGCAATTTTGCCGATGAAATCGCTTGATAATCTCGCTAGAAGGAAAGAA